TAGTAAAGCTCTTTCACTGCCTGTGACAAATATGACTCCTGTGCCTCATAACCTGATACATTTAATAAATCTAAATAAAGCAGATTAAACATCATTAGTCAGGGCATCCTGTCTTCATCTTCTGATCCGTTTATTGTCTCACAGATCAATTTTTGAAACTACCCTTTGAACTTCATTGTGTTGAAAGTAGTGACCTGTCAAATATCCTTACACAGAATTTTAACCTTCTTTTAAGGCATAACCTGCGAAGATTCTTTGTGTTTTTTTTAAATGGAGATCAATAATGTTAATATTTTAGCATCTCATTTATGCCATTCCAGCAACTATCTTTCTATACCTATTAGATTTTACTCAATACCTATTAATCTCTGTAATACAAAGTTTCATGGGGTCTCTCAAAAGGAGAGTGTATTCTGAGCATTAGTTTGATTATTGCAAAATCAGTCAAATTTTTGCTTATCAAGGAAGCATGGAGAGCTCTTGGTGGTGGATTCAAAGATGGTGTTCTGTACCCACTACATTATTCAGGACATCAATACCCTCATTAAGAAAGTGCTTTCTAATGCTTTGTGTGTATAATTTCACCTTTTGTAATGTGCTTGGGAATTCAGATATTTTTAGTAAACGTTGAGAAGCTTTGAAAGGATAGAGAGCATTTTTTTTTTTTTTCAGTGAAGCAGTGACTCAGGGGATTTGGGACATTTTATGTCAAAATCGCTCCCCACAAGCCTAATTCAGATCAGCAGCTGCTGAAAGTCACTCTCAGCAGATCGGGCTGCTTCTATGGAGTGACTCAATCTCTAAATCTTTCCTGTTAATGAAGGTCTTAGCAGAGGGTCACACCTAGTGTATATTTTTGGTCATTATGAAAAGCTGCTGAAAAGAGTTTAGGATTGAGAATAACTATAGAATAGGTGTATTTTGTGCTTGATAAGAGGACAGAGTGTGTGGTCACAACAGCATGAAAATAAATACAGCACATGCCAGCCGGCTGCCGAAGAGCAGCATCAAATGCAGGGTGGAGATTTGGATTCTGTTTTTATGCTTTACTCTGTTTTGTTCGGAATTGACCTCCATTTATAGATACAGATAGAGATAGAGATATATGCATCTTTCTTTTAGATTAATTAAAATTTATTATTTCATAATAATTTGTTAATTACACATTCTATCATTATTCTTTTTGTACGTTCCTAGAGAATAGAGCATGAATCCTTGATTTCTTTCATCTTAAATTGTATTACTTCTGTCATTTTCCTAATACTGCTAGAACCTCAGAACCTCTGAACTCCACGTACCCCCTCCTGACTTTTGCAGTTATTGTTGGCGCGTTGTTCTACATATGACTTAAAGTCTATAAGACATTTTCCAAACGCATAACTTGTATTTACCCATGGATTTAATTCCAGTGTCCTTAATCCTCTCCTAAATTTCCTTTTTTTTTTTTTTTCATCTAGGATCATTTTCTTCACCTTAAAAAAAATAGTCAAGACCCGTGATGGCTAACTTCCTCGTTCTTGTTTGTCCAATAACATTTTATTTCACTTTCATTTTTAAGGGATATTTTTTTTTGAGTCTAGAATCCTAGCTTGAATTACTTTCTTTCAGTACTTTAACTTGTGATTTATTGTTTGCTGGCTTCCTGTATTTCTGTTTAGAAGTCAGCTTCCATTCTCATCGTTGCTCCTTTGAAGGTATTGCGTTTTTTCTTGTAGATTTTGAAAACATGTTTCTTTGTCATTGACCTTTGGCATTTTTAATACGATCTGCCTTCTTTTCTTATTGTTGGTGGTGGAGCGTATTTATCGTGGTTTTCCAGACTTCTTAATATGTGTGTGGGTGCCGTTCACAAGTTTTGGAAACTTATCTCTGAATATTGCTTTGCCACTTTCTTTATATCTCTTCTATCAATACTCCTGCTACTCCTTTTCTGTTTTATTTGTCCATCTTTTCCTCTGTTCTTTTAAACATTTAATCACAGGTATTTTAAAGTCTTTATCTGCTAACTCTAAACCTGGATCATCTGTGAATCTGTTTTATCTTTTGATTTGGGGTAGATTTCCTTGTCTCTTCCCATGTATAGTAATTTCTAATTGCATGCTAAGCATTGTGTGTAAACAAACTATAGACACTACTGATGATGTTTTCTACCTGAGGCGATTCCACCATTCTGTGTTAGGAAGCAAAGGTAAGAGGTGGTCCCCTCAATCCAATCAAATATTCCACAGTGATGGAAAACCAGCCTCCCTCTGGTTCTCCTCTCATCCTCAGGCTGCACCCTCCTGTGCTTGGACTGAGAACCTGACAGGTGTTTGTTCATCGGCAGTGAAACACTGCAGTAGCTCCAGCTCTGCCCTTCAGAGCTCCAGGCCCCATTCAGCTGTGCACCCCACTCAGTTTCAAAATCTGCAAGTCTTGAAGATGAGACTAGTCAGGCACTTGAGGCTGTCATCTCCCCTGTCATACTTTTGCTTCTGAAGCACCTCTATCACTATAGGAGATTTTACCCTGATTTTTCATAAGCTCTTGACTCAAGGCACCGCTCGCTCATATAGTTGAAGAACTCAACAAATGTCCTTTGGGGAAAATGAACATGCATTTGAGGGTCCTCAAGTTTTCAAATTGCGTCTCTTGTTCCCATGCAACTGCAAAATATGGTATGGACTTTCTTTCTTCTAGAAAGGGCTCTCTAGACCTACAGAAGAATTCAGAATTAGCAAATGTCCCCAGGAGAAAAAAATAGTAGCTGTTAATTATTTGATTATCTATTCACTCAGAAAGATTCTTCCCAACCAGAATTTTAGTTTCTCTAGTTCAAAGTTTTGCCAGAGCTTTCTGTTGTTTCAAAATTATGATTTTTGGTATTGTATCCCATTTTTGCACTTTTGCAATGGGAGCAGTAAACTGTCATGACCTAAACATCCTAGGCAGAAGTAAAAGTTCCTTGTTTTGTTCCTAAATAGATGAATATTAAGTTGTGTTACTTCAGAAAGATGGTGTCTCAAGGAAGTGCTGGGAAAATAATCTACTGAGACGATCAATTAAATATTCTCTCATAAGAATAAATCCAAGGACGGTATTTTTCAGAGATGGCTATTATATGCTGCGTGTGCCGAGGAACGTGTATACAAATATTCAGTATCCAATGAGGAAACGGGACTGAATCTAAGTGTAATCAACACAGCATCCACTAGTGGAGAAAATAGAGGAACTAAGATATGTTAGTGAAAGAAACACACAGATTGCACTCAAATCCCAATGAGAAAAAGAAGTAAAGAGGAAGATGGCATAGGGACGCTGGTCTTTGGCATATATCAGGTCCTGGACACCGGCTATTGGGCAAATGACAGGCACTGTGGGGTAATAGGAAGACAGACTCTGGAACCAGACAGCCTGGTTCTACCATTTTCCATGTGACTTTGGGCAAATGATTTAACCTCTCTGTGCCTCAATTTCCTCATCTGCCAAATGCTAGCACCGCTCTGTAGAGCTCTTGGGAGCATTGCATGAGTTAATATTTGTAAGGGGCTTAGAAAAGTACTGACGCATCTTTAGCATTCTGAAGTGTTTACTAAATAACTAATTTTATGCACACCCTCCACCCGGCTCTCCTGGCTCACTTCCCTGACAGTAGAGGCAATCTGGCTTCCACAAGAGTCTCCCAGCGGGAGAATTCTGACTTCCATGTCATTCTGGTGTAGTCCTGGAGACTAGAGAGAAACCCCCTTTTAAGGGGGCTATACTGCTTTAGCCACTCACTTTCTATCAGTGCCTGGAGGTTGCTTTGGGGATTGGACGGTCACAGGCCTGTTTTGCACACCGTTTGTCTAAGCTTCAATTGGGAGAAATTCCTTTTGCTAATAACCAGCCCAGAAATCTAGTTACGTAATTCAGGTATGGGTTTGAGCCCCCAGCTTCTGTGTTTTAACATCGTTTCTTGACATTCAGCCCATTTCTGTGATTCTAGGCTTTAAAATCTTCCTCAGGTAAACAAGAGGCTTGGGTGTCCAGGTGAAGGTGTTGGCTTTAGAATTGTATGGAACGTGGATGGCCTTGTTGTTTTCAAGTGACTGTCCTCACATAAGCCAACCACCATGCCCTGCTTTGTTTTATTCTCATTTATCTTGATGGAAAGGATGGAAGTGATGTGGGAACAAAGTAGTAGGTGCCTTGAGGCCGTCTCGTTCCCTCTGAATTCTCCCCAGGAGTCCCATTCTGATGTCCAGAATCTCATTTTCTTAAACCAGCATACTCACTACAGAACTGACAGAAAATTTGGTTTCTGCAGCGTGCAGCTGCTCCAGATGACTGGCTGCTGGCAGAGGGCAGAGCCCACAGCATGTAGCCTGCCTGTCCCCACATGCCCTAGCTGTCCCTGGGGGCAAGCTCTGCCTCCCTTCAGGGACCCCAGGGAAGCCAGACCCAGCAGCCGATACACTTGCACGCGGTGATGCCCTCCTGCAAAGACCCCTGAAGTTCCCATGTCTGTGGACTCCTGGAGCTAATGCGTGATGGTCAGAGTTGGGGTCACGTGACCTTAAAAGGTGTTGACTAGTAACTGTGCGCAGACAGAGGGGTGGATCCTGGAGTGGGATGCAGCTGAAGAAATCCAGAAACATCTATCATAGACAGAATTACAACCGTGATACATTCAATGAAGAAAAAGTCCAAGATGTCGTAAGAATGTATATAATAAGAGAGGGCAAAGGGCAAACAGGCATGTGAGTCTTTCCTGTACCACTGGAGGTACATCACCTGTTCCCCAGGGTACTTACCCTAACTGATTTCCAAGTTCCATTCATCCTCCTAATTCGGCAGTTCACAGCCGACCTGCATTGGATGCCGTTTCCCAGGGCAGCAGAGCCAGGAGGTTCTAGAGCGGATGTCCAAGCTCTCTTTCCACCCCATCCGAGCCTTGGCGTCCAGGTGTTGCTCTTATACTTCTCATTCATTCACAGTATTTGGTGCTACTCTTTTTACCCCCTGCTTCCCTCCCCCAGGTAATCCATCAGCTGAGGCTGTCCGAGAATGAGAGCGTGGCCCTTCGGGAGCTCCTGGACTGGAGGCGGAAGCTCTGCGAGGAGAGAGGAGACTGGCCACAGATCCTACGCCATGCGGAGCCCAGGGCACCTCCGCCACCTCCGTGCAAGAAGCCCACACTCCTGAAGAAGCCCGAGGGGGCCTCCTGCGGCAGGCCGCCCCCCAAGTTCTGGGACACTACCCTGTGATGGGCCCCGACTGCAGACTCGCTGCCTGGAGATGCCAGGTTCACAGACAGAGGCTGCCCCTGGTACATGCTAGGGGCTCTGTCCGCATCTACACGAAAAGCACAGGACAGCCCAGTTAAATACGCGAGATTCCCTGGGTGTGTGAGTGTGCGTGACTCTGTGTGCGTGTCTGTGTTTTCTCATCCGTTCTGTGGGGGGTGCACTCTGATCTTCAGGCTCTGTGGTCCTAGGGCCGTGCTACCCCGAGGTAGTGAGAGAAAGGCCAGAAAAAGTGTGGCTGAGCAGGGAGAGGATGATGGAGGAGGGGGACCCGTACACCACAGAGTTGTTTTTATAGGGTCCGACCACTTGCATCTTGTCCTCCAGTCATTTTACTCTCATACACTCTCCAGGACCTAGGTTTTATTTCTTTGTAGGTGTTTGTGTTTTATTGGAATTACAATCCTGTTAATGATTTACATGTTTGTTATTGTATTTTATAATTTTATGCAATGGGTGGTGCTCCCTTTCTTCAAAATACAGACTTTAAAAAATCATTTCTAGAACTTTTCTTTTCCTACATACCTTTTTTTTTTTTAATGTACCGTACCGAAAAATCCCGAGGCTGTGTTGCTGTTTTAGCTTCACCATTCCAAGCTCTGCAAACATACAGCTGGAGTCCGATGTCTTGTGTTTCATTCACTGATCAGGAGACGGCTCCTTCCTGTGCCCTGTGTTTCCAGGCACACGGACTGTGAGCTCTTTATTGAAATCTCATCCCCTGGCTTCAGTAGAGGTTACAGGAAATGATGCAGCACCCCCTTAAATGCATATGGCTTCAGATTCATAGCTGGGGGTGTGCAGGGGGCATATCCATTCAAAGGTCTACACAGTACCAATAAGCATGCTGAGATTTGCTGGTCCGAGCCGTGATGCTGCCCCACAAGACGCTTGTCCTCTCTGAGATCCACTGCATGTCTCACCCACTTTATGTCCTCAGCCCTCCTGTGATGCACCCGCCTTGCTTATCCATGTGCTTCTGTTGGCCTCAGACCATGATGTCTTTCTCCTTGGAACTTTGCTTTCATACCAGCCTTGGCAAAGTTACTGTGCCAATAAAAGGGTACAACTCTGTTCTTCTGTGGTGTTATTTATGTGCCACTGTTGTTTTCCACAAACACCTCCGTTTCTGGATCAGATCAGTAGGGGCAAGGAGACCTCTGTTCATGTGTTCTTCTCACAGCATCTTGCAAACTTTAGGATCTATAGTTTGTTTTAAAAGAAAGATTTTTATGGTTATTCATACGTAACTACCAGGTGGGCCTACGTCAGTTGTAGGAAAAATATGTCAATTATTTAGGAATACTAATAGGCCGGTAAATCAGGAGAGGACTTCCATTGAGAAGATGGTTCGTGATGCTCACAGATCCCACACCGAGCCAGGGAGGGACACACGGAGAAGCACCTGGGTGCAGCCAGAGGCAGAGGAAGCAGGGGAGCTGGTGGGCTGGAGCTTTCCCTGGGGTTTCCTGGGCAGGAATGGGCGAGGCGGGTGTGCATGTGTGGACTGATGGGCTTGGATGGTTTCAGCCTCTCTCGGGCACAGAGGCTGCCCCTGGTCCTCTGGTTGCTGGCCCCTGGCTGGGGGATGGTGGCCTGGAGTGGGAGGGGTGGACGAAGGCAGTGGATGGGCTGTGGGCTCTGGAAGTGTCGGGGTTGTCTTCTATCTCTGGGACTTGGGACGTAGTTGAGACATGGTTAAGTGGCGACAGGACTGATGTCACCCAACAAGTTCAGGGGGGCGTCCACGCGGCCGCCAGCTGGACAGCCACCCGGCCTCGCTCCCTGCTCTTTCTTTGCACTCTCGCCAACATCCAACCTCCTAACCCCAGTCCCTAAGTAACCGCGACGCCAGTTCCCTTGAGACACCTGCTTCCGTGGCCAAGCCGTCACACTGTAGGCACTTCATGACCTTGGCTGCATTAGAAGTGGGAACTGGATTTCTCCTGCTAACACACACGGTGTTTTTATTTAGACCAGAATGAAAAGTGAACCGTCCAGGCATTCGACTTGTGAGAACTTGTTTCGGATGTGCATTGAGCACTTGCTGTGACAGTTTTGGTTGCTTTGCACATAGTATCCAACCCTGACACTGACATATGCCTTCCTGATAATTCTCATCTTCTGGGTACCGACCCTGAATTTGAAGCTCAGAGCTTTAAGGAGGCTGTCAGAATATAAACCCTCATCTTTATGGTTCCAGAGCTCATGCCATTTTAACTTGATAGACAGAAATTTTATACTTATTGTATGGAAGTCTAGCTTGAAAAACTTCATTAAATGATCTTTTGGGGGATACACCGCTGTGGGAAACTCTGATGGAAGCCTATTACCGGGAAGGTGAACATGAAGCAAGCCACCCAGGCACATATGGATCCACATGACACACTCTCTGTTCTGTTAACCTGGTCACAGTGTGGGGCCTGTGTAGTTATAACCTGACCCTGACCATCACCTGCTCAAGCATCAGGCAAGAGTAAATATTTAGTCTGCCTCGTAATCCCTTGGTCTCATCTAAGGTTGTTCATCTTCCAGAGCTAAAGGCCAAACCCCTTGAAGATTTTCTGACACACAGTCTCCTGACTCAGTAAGTACAGCCTTTTGTGCATTTCTTTCTGCTCCCCACAGTGGAGAGATTTCGGTGTGTGTTCATCAGTAGCTTACAACCAGCTGATTGTAGCTGTTCCACTTATATGATGGAAAAATCAGCTCAGACTCAAAACATTTCATAGCCAGGAGAGTATTAACAACATTAATAGTCAAAATAATATGAGATAAAGTCCAAGTCCGTGGGGATATTAAAGGTACTCTCAGAGTGGTTCTCTAACAATTACAACATTGTCAGGATAATGAACAGGGGTGCCATTCTGGGTAATAAAGCACGGAATGTTATTCCACATAAGCAAGATTTCAACAATTGTGTTTGTTTGCAATATATTTAAAGATGATATTTTAATTGCTATCAGACCATAAGGTATGAATTATGATATATTATCAGGCCTGAGACCTTATGTTTAGCGATATAATTGGTGTGAATTATTACCCTATGTTAAGACACTGCCCAGTCTTATTGCTTTAAAAAAATGCTTTATGAGAGGGCTCTAAAAACTACTATCAAAATGTTCATAGTGGGGCTTCCCTGGTGGCACAGTGGTTGAGAGTCCGCCTGCCAATGCAGTGGACACGGGTTTGAGCCCTGGTCTGGCAGGATCCCACATGCTGCGGAGCAACCAGGCCCGTGAGCCACAATTACTGAGCCTGCGCGTCTGGAGCCTGTGCTCCGCATCAAGAGAGGCCGCGACAGTGAGAGGCCTGCGCACCGCGATGAAGAGTGGCCCCCCGCTCGCTGCAACTAGAGAAAGCCCTGGCGCAGAAACGAAGACTCAACGCAGCCAAAAATAAATTAATTAATTAATTTTTTAAAAAAATGTTCATAGTGGGTTAAAATGACTTAAAATTCTTTTTCCACAGTGGAAAAATATATCATTAGTATTCTTAAATAGTGGCATATGATTTAGTAGAATTATGCTACCCAGTGAAAGCAATAGCCAATTAAAATCTTAGATTTGTAAATGAACCTCACACAGAAACATTACACAACTTGGACAAAAAGTACATTCTGAATTCCATAGTCTAGAAGGTTGGATAAATCTCTGGGAAAATTCTATTCCTGTCCGTTTTCAGCCAGACACAAACTCCACTCCTATCACAGTAAAGGACATGGAAGTTATTACATAATAACATTCTACAATGGGACACGTTTTACCCCCTGGCTATTACTCTGCACTGCTAATTTTGTCCCAACTTTTAAATGTATGTCTTTAGTTAGAAGTTAAAAAGTTTTGTTTTTATTTTAATTCTCATTGGGAAATTCTCAACAAAAAACATCCAAAGCTGGAAAAACAAACAAACAACACCGCGTTCCAAGTAAAAGTTCAATGTAATTTCATTACATTTTTCAAATTGCTTATAGCTTCACATAAAAATCCAGGTAATGGAGATGAAAGCCATAATATTTCTATTTATCGTGCAATGGTATATACTCCACAATGTTCATGGTTTCCCAAAACAGTAGCACTGCTTTCAAAAAACTGAAAAATATATTCTTTATCCCCACTGTACTTCCTTTACATCTTATTCCTAAGCAATGACTTTATCAAATTCTACAATGTTCTACTCATATGAGTTACAAAGTTACCCACCTAGCAAAGGGTTGTAGCATGCTGAGTTACAGCCTGGAAGAATTACCTTTGTAGTTTTTCTCTTTACCTAAGTACCCTGGACCCCTGGGATGTTCCATTATTGTGGTTTCAGTAAGTTTCTCTAAAATCCAGGATGCTTTGTAAAACTTTAAAGATGACTTTTTCAAAGGGTAAGTCTTACTGGATTGCCTATAATACATCTCTATCACTGTTCTAATTTCTCAGATCACTTTTCAGATTTTTTTAAAAAATCTATACCTAAAATATCATTTTTGTATCATCTGACAGCACAATATAACCTGGATTTTATGTCGTTTACCAGAGCATTACAATGGCAGAAGAAAATCTTGATGTTTTCTCATAAGAAAATATCAAAGGTGAATAAATCTATGCATTTATTTCAATTTTTGTTTTATAATAGGCATGCATCAGATGTGTCTTCTCTTTCCTTTGAATTAATCATCGACAGACATCCTGGCATATCTGCTAGCTTGCCTTTTCCTACAGCCCCAGGGAGCGTGCGTTGCTTCAAAAGAAGGCTCCAGAGCTGGCCCAGGTGACATTTTCCTGATGTCACCCCTTAGTTTCTAAAGTCTAAAGAAAATGAAAGAGAATGAAACTATTGATAAATTCCAAAGGGGGAAGTTCAAATCTCTAAAGAAAAATGGAATAAAACCAAATTCAGTTGGAGGTTTTGATCTTTTAAGATTTCTGCAAAGAGGCTGAAGGTCCCTGATCTAAAACAATGGGTTGAAAGTG